ATATAATTTTACATTTAATCAGACATTATATATAGACCAATTAAAAAAACTCAGTAACATGTAACTTTTTTGTTTGTGGGAATCTGAAAGATTATACAACTAATTTGATGAGCTATTTAAAAAAGGAATCCATGGGTTACATTAGTCCTGAAAGCTTTGTGGAATCCTTTCAGTTTTATATGTGTCTCTAACCAATGCATTTACGAGGTGATGGACAAACGATCCAATAGCTTTCAGTTGAGTTATGGAGAGAATCTCAACTCTAAAGTTGATTGATAAACCTATTAAACAATCAGAATTTGCAGCTGCAAAGATAAATTCTCTGCCTTTTTTTTGTCAACACAAAAAAAATGTTCTTAAACTGAAATTATAACATTCTCTTTAATTTTAAAAGAAAACACTTTGCAAAAGGAAGGAAAAACAAAACCCTATAGAAGCAGATTTTGCTTCGCAATCAAGAGAGGTCTCCTAGTTTCATTGCTTTCCGTGGAAGAATAAAACACAATCATAAGAAAAGCTGATTTCTGGGTGAATAAAGGCAAAGTGCAACACTAACCTTAACATTCCCTATTCTGGAAATAAAACAATAAAATAATAGAAAAATAAATAAATCAGCGAAAAGGCTTAAAAGTTTATGCCAGATGCGGCCTCCATGCCTGCCACTCACTTTCTAGTTTCCAACTTTTTCTCGTGTTCATATTGTATGTATGAAACTGATCATATATCCTTTTAGAATTAGAAATACATTAACAATTTTAAATGTCACAGTATATGTAATTAGATAGTATTACTTGCTAAACCGGTCTAGCTGAACATAAATTGTAAGAAGTTTACTGTAGAATAAATTATAATTCTTGATATATTCTAGTATCATAGAAACCGAATATACATATTTTTCTTAGAAAAAATAACTCTCCACTAGTTCCAAAACGCACTACAAGAGAAGAGACACACAATACAAACACAAAGATTAGTGGTTCTCCCCGATCACCAATTTAAATATTAAATATCCAAAGCTCAAATAAGTTTCACCGGCATGTAAGCACTTTTTACAAAAATGGAGTTCAATGTATCTGAATTATATATAGGTTAAAATACTATGATTAAGATTTATAATGGAAACGAAAATGTAAATAGAGAAAATTTCTAAAAGAAAATTATGGTTAAAAGAGGAAAAAAATAAACACCTTTTGGCAAAAAGAGAGCTCAGTGCACCTGCTTCCCCAGCATTGATAATTTTAGTTGACATATGTCTCAAATATTACAAAGCAACATTTTCTGTTTGTTGAACTATGAATTTGTTTATCAAGGAATTTTAATAATATAAATTCTGTACAAAGCAGTTTGTGTAGTGTTTTAAAAATAGAGTAGAGCAGAAAATTATTAAATCAGGAAAATAAGTAATATTAATAAATCTCGTGTTAATAATACTAATAAAAACTCTCTAGCAAGATGAACTTTGTATCAACAATGATAGTTGATCTAAGATAGGCTTATTTTCCAATATAGAAGTGTATATAATTTAGGAGGATTCTTCATATAAAAGTAAAAATACAAGCAAAATGGGGAAAGATGTATTCTAAAGCGATTAAAAAGAGAGAATAAATTAAGAATATGAATATGAAAGAGATGGGAAGTATTAAAGAAAACAGCTGGAGAGATATTTGTGCCTTATGGAGAAAGAAACTGCGTCGCAATTAGACAACAATTGTTTTAATTTCAATTTTCAGGACCGCTTTTGTCGTTTCCTTTAGCCATAACGAAAGATAGTGTGATGACAGTTGACAAAAGAACTTGATTTGTAGACAACTCTATCAATTTCGAATCTGAAATTAATAGTATGTTTGTTTAATTGGGTAAGATGTTAAATATTATTACCAGTTTTCATTTGTGACAGAAGGTACAGAGGTAACTTGTAGTAGAAAAACAAAATAAAGCTAAACAACCACAAAGAACAAAGCAAACCTGATACAACCAACAAAGTGCAACATTACACGCTCGAGGAAAAATATGAAGGACAAAACAATTGCAGGAAACATAAGTTAATCCCCAAGAGAATAGTTAGGAGTTCAAGAACTGATCCAAGAGCCAGCAACATTAGATTGGACTCAGCGTCAGTCCTGGATCAACCGGATGAAATATTGGTCTTGTGTTTCTAAATTTTTGCATATATATAAATTTTCAAAAAAATATTTATTAGGTGGAATCGTTTAAGAAATCTCTTTAGGTCCCCTAATTCTCATGGCCAGTCCTGCCTAAACTCCACAAAACGAGCAAGAGAAGACTCGGTGTTTAGACAACGCCAAACCCATCAATCAAGACTGGTTGATCAACGTCCTAAGGAGAACAAGCCCCCAGACACAGACCATGAATGAAACACCGAGACACAAAACCAGGAACCACCTCTTACCTCAAATCGCTCATGTTTTTATCGCAGAAAATAGTAGAGTATACAAGTCACATGACATATATTTGCATATGTTGAGGTTTTTCTGTCCAGAAAGATATGCTGAGAAACTCTATAGAAGTACATGTTTGAAACCCAAAATTATTACTGTTTAAGTATAAATTTTTATGACTACAATAAAAATTAATACAAAATGAAGTGAAAAAAGCAAAGAAACAAAAAAAGAATAAAGTGAAATTAAAAGACCTGGAATTTTTTACTATTATTTCTGTTATTCTTTACAAAGCGACATCTCGATATCTTGTATACATATACAAAATCATAAAATTACTTTACAAGATCATCTTCCAAACTTTTAAGATATCTGTCAATTGATCTGTTGTGGTTTATGATTTGTGCATAGAATCAGTACTTGTATATTATCACACTAATAAAATGACAATCCGACTTCGCATGTTTCACCCTCAAATATTATATAATCTCAATATATTTCAGTAGAAATAGAAAAGTTTCTCAGATGAAAAGTTTGACAAAAAAATCTTATGAAACACTATTCAATTATAAATTGGCAGTGTAAGAAATTTATAATGAGTTTAAACATATTTTAATTAGATTAATTTGTATAATCAACAAATTTATTTTTAGAAACATCAACAACTACAGTTTTGCAGTAGTAGTAAAACAAAGATGAAGAAGAGCCATTATTTCCTCATGTTACAACAATGTAGACAATTACAACTATGTAGCCAAATTGACATTAGTTAGTGGCCCAAACTTGTTGAGCATATATATTTGAATTGTGTTAAATATAATTAAATTTGGTATCTATTCTTAAGTGGCAAGTTGGTATTATTTAGCTTTTGGTTTATTTCGCGTCATAGTTTGAATTTGAGTCCCCCATCATGTTGGGGTCTTTTAGTTACTTCTTAACATCGACACTTTTATCATTTTCCCGTTTCTTTTTATTTATATATATATTTGTAGCTTGTCTTTTCTTCATCTCTTGAGAGTGAATATATTTCTACATTTATCTTTTTCTGATACAATGAATGGATGCATAGTTTATTCTCAGTGCTTCTTGTGAGACTTAATCAACCCATACGGTAGTTTAAGTGTTTTAATTCTGTTATATTTACACATACTTTTTAAACAAACATGTGAGATATGGTGAGACGTATGTTTTTATATACAAAACATATTTTGAAATATAAAATTACTTCTTTTTTGAATCAGTTAAACTTACATTACTTACAATGATTAACATACTCGTTTTCTTTCTATCCTTTTTCTATCCGGCCACCGAAACGTCATACCAAACAAGAATGTGATGAGGTGTCGTCATTGTGTCCAACGAAATTTACCAATGTTCTCATGATTCGCAGTATTATTTCTCTCGATCACTATATAGGATGATTACTGCTAAAAATGACACTGATCTATATAGTTCAAAATGAAAAAAAAAAAGAGTTATTAACAGCTCAACTCCTATATATCTGTTCTGTAAACTATGTTCTTAGTTCAATGGCATCAATGTACATTAGTGTCAATTGTGTCATCATCAATATTGGTGACTGCTGAAATTCACATGGCAGATCAAAATCGGTCTATGTTCATATCTTTGGATGTATCTATCTCCCAACCAAAATAAATAAAGGAGATTAAGATTGATGGACCTAACTAAAGGGAGTGTCCTTACATTGGGTTATAATCTGATGGTGAAATTGATAATTAACAATAAGATTCATTTGGTGTACACTGTGTTTGTCTCTTTCAAATAATTGATGAATATCGACAAAAGCATATAGAGCCAAGCCAATCAGCCTCCAGCCCCTATGTTCATGCTTACACTTAAACGATCTGAAATGTCTCTCCCATATGAACCACTAGAAAAATTCTATCCATGGTTGGTTTATATATCAAGTAGAACTAGAAGCTGCTATAGTGACAAGAGTCTTTTTATGTTTTTAATTAAAATGAACAAAAAGTAGTGTAATATTCTTATATGAGAAGTTTGGGCATACACCTTTGTCTCTAACCAAGTCTTTTTTTTTTTTTTTTTTTGGATCAATCTCTAACCAAGTCTAATATCAATCTGTGCAAAGATAAGAAATATGACATAAAACATTATTTTCACCAGAAATCGAACTAGTAACACATAACTTATCCGAGGTTATTTTTATATTCCTCCAAAAGTTTTTTTGTTTATAGTCTACAAAACTCGGTTGCATCGCCCACAAGGACCACAACACATACTTTTTTTTCGAATAATGGTCTAAATGTGGTTGCTACGGCTGTACCGCTCCAACATGTCATGTCAACAGAGAGAAGGTTGTAGAGGAAGGACGTTGGGTTTGCATTCACGTAAGTAGATTGATGGGTTCTTCTATATGATTCCTTATGTGAAGTTGAAGAAAGAAGGTTGTATGAGCAACAACACAACAAGTGTGGACCATATTCGCAATTAAACCGGGCTGGACCACAAATGTGTCACGTGGTCCCGGTTTTAGCTTTTTACCGAAAACGGCAGCATCACGAATGAAGTCACATACACCACACGGTCACGTGACAGACGAATCATACTAGAGAGGACGTAATCAAACATAGAAGTACAACAATGATTACCAAATTTTGTCCGGTTAAGAACTGACTCATAATGAATTAAAAAAAAACCGAATTTTAAAGTTTCAATCAACAGAACCAGACCTTAGAGATGAAACTCTGCCTTCAACTAGACAAAACAAAAGCAGGAACAAGTTCTTAAGGTTGCAACAACAAAAAACAAGCTGGTGAAGATGATGCAAAACTGTTTTTTTTTTCCTTTTGCAGAGAGACCAGACAACACGAGCATCAGTTAATCTTTGCGTTTGAGAAGTCCATCTCTGGATGCTGCGCGTAAAGAATAAGAAAGTAGCAAGCCATTAAGTGTAAAGAAAAACAATGTGATAAAAATCAAAGATGCAGCAGATGTTTTAGAGACAATGTATTGTTATACCTGAGACATGAACTTCTTGAGAATGTCTTGCTTCTGTAGCTCGTCACTCGTTGGAAGACCCATCTGCTTTTGCCTTTGATCAAACTATATATATAACAAAGAACAAACAATTTTTTAGTGTCACAAAAAAAGGAAATGATTCAAGAAACTTTAATGGATTCTAAAAAAAAAACAAGTACCATCATTTTTTCAACAGTGGAGCGAGTTTCAGGGTCAAGATCAGCTAATTTACTGTTCTCTGGCTCAACCTTCTGTGTATCGATCTCAGGTTCACCTTTCACACAGCATTTCCACCACTCCATCTGATCTTGCTTAGTCAACAGAATCGAAATCATCTTTTGATCCTCTGCAACATACAAACTGAGAGTTAAAATCTCACAAATCCTAAATCAAAATGAAGTTAAAATCTCTTATGTCTATTAATTCACATACCGATATTCCAGTAGCAATCATCAGGCTTCACAGATCGGTACAGCTCTCCCTAAACTCAATGAAAGTTTAACAAATTTAGCAGTCAATAGTAAGTTAATATGATAAACAATTAACAATAGGAGCAGAGGAACTTTACATCGATGATTGGATCCTGTCCTTTGAGACCAAGCTTAAGACGGTTCTTCTTAATCTCACATACAACAGACCGTGCTTTAGTGCCACTAGGCACTGGAATGTTGACAGTAACCTCCTGAAGAGTCTGGACCCATGAGTAGCTCTCAAGATCATAACCATTACCTTTGTTAGGTGCTGCAAGAAGTAACACACATAAACATGTAAAGATCTATACTTTACACAATGTTCCAATCAAAAGTTTCCAAATTTAATTTACTCATATAAAAAAAAGAAACATACACACTGATTCAAACTCTCTAATACCTAAACATGTAAAAGATCTATACTTTACACATTGTTCTAATCAAAGTTTCGAAATTTAATTTAAATATATAAAAAAGAAATGATATTTTACCAATGGGACAAGGTTCTTGTTTCTTCTTCTCCACTTCAATGGGCTCTGAGCTTGAAGCAGCCACACTCTCCTTCTCCGCAGGCTTCTTCTCAATGGGTTTTACAGTCTCCTTCTCAGCTTTCTTCTCAGCCTTTCTCAACTTCTCCTTCGCAGCTTTAACCGCGGCGGAGATCTCCTCCTCCGCGGAGGGTTTCTTGAGAAAATCGCTCTGTTCGCCGAGAAAGTTGAACACTTTCTCCAAGAAACTTGATGGGTTGGAAGAATCTAGCGTCGCCCTGAAAGGTAAGATGGAGGGTCGGGTGGTGCTTTCGTCTTCAACCTCGGAGATGATCGCCATTGTGGGGGACTTTTCGTTTTCTAGGGTTTTGCTCTACTACTTTACTTCACTCTAAAGTGAGAAATGGAAAAAAAAAAAAAATTCATTTTAACTTTGATAAAATAAATCATTTAATGATAATTTTGTAATATAATTTTTCTTTTAGATACCCTTTGCACAAGTTAGGATTTTGCAATGTTTGTATTTTGATTAAAAAAACATAAATTAAATAGTAGAGATAGTAGAGATAGTAGACAAAATTACTAATTTATACTTTTAAGCTAAAGTTTGAAATTTGTAGGGGTGAATGGTTCGACTGTAGATGTAGAAATTTTACTGTAGAATTTAGACTGTAGATTTTTTGATGTAGTTGTATCTAATGTAGCTGTAGAAATTAAATGAGAAAAAAATATAAAATAAAAGATATTCCCACAGTAATTCTACAGCAATATTTTTTTATTTTAGAAAATAGGGTTCCTACAACCATTTTTTAAACTTTTTGACTTTAGCTTTAAAAACTACTTAAAGCATGATTGATGATTTAAATGGTTGTAGATAGAAATTAAAGCTAAAATCACTACTTACAACCCAACCAATCATCCTCTTTATCTCATTTGACTTTCTAAAATTATTTACAATGTAAAAGTTCAAATATTTTTATTGAAAATCTTCTAAATGGTAGCTAGTTATTTTTAAACTATAATTTATCATACATTTAATTTTAAAAATACATATTATCTTAATTTGTCATATATAAAAATACAACTAATCACATATTTACTAGCAAACACATTTGAAATTTGGACTAAAGTCTGGCATGGACCAAAATATATCTACGGCAAACAAAATAGGCCCATTACGGCCCAATGAACTTTTTATACTTTCTACTTTTATAGTTATGTCACGAAAATCTATTTCTATCCAATTTATTTTTATCTAATTGAAATTGTTTCAGGAGCTGGTATAAAACAGTGAATGCATTACTGTTCAATACCTAATTTTTTTGAAACTCTGCGATTGAGCCTTTACTCTCACTGTTTATATATCTGTACAGTTAAGTATAAAATAAGAACATCTTTTCAGAGAAGGTCATAGTTGGAAATTGGAAGTTAGATGTAAATCGGAAACAAACAAACAAAAAGAGGCTCCCACCAAGACCATATACTACAAACTAAAGTGCAATTGATATTAAATGCTTCAGAATAATAACATGCAACCACCAAGTTTTGATATTAATTAGTACTGATTGTTTTTGCTTCCATATTTTATTTTTTTTGGTATAAAAAATAATACTCCCTCCGTTTCATTTTATTTGTCATTCTAGTTTTTTGCACACAGATTAAAAAAATATTTAATTTTACATATTTCCAAGATAAAAACACAATTACCTATACACCTAACCACTTTTCAACCAATAGAAAAATTGAATATTATATAAAACTAATAAATTTTGCCTCGAAACTTTAAAACGACACTTAATTTGTGACAAAAAAATAAGCCTATAATGACATATATTTTGAAACGGAGGGAGTATATATTTACCTTATTTTTTTTTTGCTAACCAAGTATCCATCCGACCACAAAGCGTGATCGAGACTAGTCCACCGGACCTAAATCCATGCTATGACAAGATTTTTAAGCGTTCACTTAAGGGTCTCTGGTTACGCTAAGTGGTTTGGGGCGCCACACCAACATATATTTTACCTTATATTTCCGTCGAATCAAGTTTAGAGATTCTATAGTTTGTTTATAACATTTTGTAACCTCAACTTTCATTTCCTGAATAATATTTACATTGGTAGCAAAAAAAAACATGCAACCACCAAATGAGTCTTCCGTACCATCTCACGGTGACCAAAGATGAAAACGGCAATGTGAGAGCGGTACATACTATCTGTTTTTCATTGAAATACGATATTTACTCATTGAACTGATTCTGTAATTAGCTACGTAACTAACCGTGGTTTTTGCTTAAGCCGTGCAAAGATATTCGTCGATCAAATCGCTCCATGGTTTGAATGTTTGATCACAAAAGGGTTGGGAACCAAAAATGCCAAACATTTCAACTTGAAAAAAATAAATAGTTAGATATTATCATATTATACTGTCTTTGACCAAAAAAGAAAGAAAGATAATCTTAACATTTTACCCCCAGAAAAAAAGAAAAAAAAAGAAAGATATCGATCATACTGTACCTCGAATATCACTTTATTAAAATGGTCAATCCCCAACTGTACGTAGTAGTTGGTCGTTACCAATAACTTGTTCACTGAACGATCAAGTCAGGTTTGCGGTTCCCGTAAGAGAGAAGTAAGAAAAAGTGCACACCGTGCTTTAACTAATCTAAAGGAGTTGTCAGAATTTTCAAAATAATTGTGTAATATTTTAAAAACACACAAAGAATCGAAGTAGCAAATTAAAGAAGAAGAAAATTTCTTGTGTTATTATTAATTCTCAAAAGGTGTATTATTCTTATTATTTGATAATAATGGAATGTTTTGATCGCCCATGCAGATATATACGAGCAATACGCTGTACTATATTTTACAAGAAAATGTATCGTGACTTCCAAAAAGGTATTATTATTTAGGGTTTATTGTTATTTTTTGACAAGAAGGATTATTTTTGGCCCGTCTATGCAAGACATCTACGAGCATGCAATACACTGTACTATATATTTGTTCAAGAGAAAACATTGTATTATACATTATGTTGATGGACATCAACTCCACTTCCGTACTTTTGTTACATATAAGAGGCTTATTAATCGAATGAATGACCAAGACGGTGGTCAGAGCAATTTCTATGTCTAGTAAAGGGTTTACGTAAAAAGGGAGCATTGATAAATTCTTATAAAGAGAAGTTTCAAGTAAACGCTGCATATGAAAGCAGTTATTGAATCTCTGATCCAGATAGTTGGGACAAATAAATTAAACAGTACCTAACTCATGCATTCGTTGCATTAAATGGAGCGAGCTATGGTTATTGTAATTTTGTTTTTGATGAATATAGATCACTGATCAAATAAATACGTCCATGGATTTAAAGATGGTGATTAGCATTTATAGAATTAAGGACTCTGAATATATAGAGTTCATCATATTCTTTATCGAAAACTTGAAGATGGTTATTTTTCCAAACCTATTCATTAATTGATTAATTAATAATAATCTTTTTTTTTTTGGAACTCCAATTAATTAATAATAATCTGCTATATCGAAAACTAATGATTCTAGTTAAGACTTAAGTGTAAAGTGGTCTGTTTAACTCAACTTGTAGCACAGGTCTTGTGTTTCTGACCTATGAATAGTAGAAAGTCCTCTCTGAAACTTGTAATATAAATACAGGGTGTCAGGGACACAAGAAAAGAGAAAGAATTATAGTAGCATGGTTAAATTCTGATGGTGAGTGAAGTTAGTAGTATGTTCATTAAAATTCTCGTATTCCTAGTATTTCATTTAATCAGCTGACTTGACCAATACAATATTTTCATAACAGTAATAAGTCTTGAGATTACTTTTAAATTTGTTGGTCTGAAAACGTATTTCTTTAGTTAAAAGTTAAAACCGGTTATATATGCATAGCAAAATAATATATCCGCCTGATTTGTTATTAAAAACATAAAATACACAGACACGATTACACATCCACATGATGAGTAGTAGCTAGGTTAACCAAAGCAAAAGGGACCACGAGTCGACAGCAAAATCATTGCAACTCATTGATATAGAGAGAATAGAGTACAAAGTGACTAAGTGGGAAAAAATCCACAAAACTCGGAAAGAGCCACAAATAGGTCAAAGAATGGGTGTAGAGAAGAACACTGCAAGGGAGACAGTGGAGGAGGAGCCACTCAGCCCATGCTCACGGCTGTTCAATTCGCCGGATTTTAACTGTGCGATAATCGTCATCATGGGATGCAAAGTCAAAGGAAACGCACTTGCCATCATCGACGGCCTTAAGCACACCCTCGTTAATCATCCTCGCTTCTCCAGCATTTTAGTAAGTCTAAACACACATGTATAATATTTATATGAACACCAATATATTTCATGATTATTAGTAAAAAACATTTCACCATTGTGTTTATACACTCACAATGGTGAAATGAAAGAGTTACAGCAGAACATGATATAAAATCATTAGGTTCTCAAAATCTTTTTTCTACCCTGTTTGTATCATTGAAGTTATATAACATGCTCTTAATTAATAAAGAGTCATTAGTTATCTTAATCGGACTGAAAATGGTAAAGCAAGCCTCAATATTATTATTATTATTTTTCAAATCATAAGAATGAAAATATAAAATGATGGGTTTATTATATATTTTGAAAATCATATTTTTTAGTTATATATACTTTTTGGGTACAAATTCAGGAGATGAGCAATGGGAAGAAAGGGAAACCGAGATGGGTTCGGACAAAAGTCAAAGTAGAAGATCATGTGATTGTTCCAGATATAGATCCCAACATTGAAAACACTGACCAGTACCTTGAAGAGTATATCTCTAAGTTAACAACCACTCCTATGTGTTTGTCTAAACCATTATGGGAAATTCACTTACTCGGCCTCAAAACATCAAACGCTGAATCCATTGGCCTTCTCAAGATCCATCATTCTTTGGGTGATGGAATGTCTCTCATGTCTCTTTTCCTTGCTTGCACCCGCAAAACATCAGACCCTGAGGCTTTACCTACTGTTGCGGTTCAGAAAAAACAGTTTGGACCGACATGTTACAGCGGTTTCTTCAACAAGATTTGGTGGTTATTTGTGGGACTTTGGTTCATCCTAAGATTGGTTTTCAACACTTTTGTTGATATCTTAATGTTTGCTCTAACCATTTGTTTCTTGAGGGATACGGAGACTCCTCTCTTGGCCAAACCTGGTAGTGAACTTATACCTAAGAGGTTCGTCCACCGGATTATCAGTTTCGACGATGTTAAGGTCGTGAAAAATGCAATGAAACTGGTAAAAAAATAATCTTATTTCATAGTTTCATGAATATCTTGAATTATTTATAT